AGAACTAACCATCAAGGGATTGACAAGCACATTTAAAACATATGGAAGTGCAACACGGATAATCCTGCTGTGAATTTAACTGATGTCAACTAAACCACCTGATGAGCGCTTCAAGAGCAACTCTTCCGGTGCGCGCAACATTGACATAGGTTAAAATAGGCAACAGTTCCTCCTACCACCCATGTTTTATTGAATCCTTGACGCTCACCCTCGCCCTTGCTGCTCCTCCAGATGTATTTACTGAGGTAGCAAACACTTGAGAAATGCAGCTCGAGAGCTCACTTGAGCTCGGCACCCACCCGGCTGCGCCGGCAGCTGTTTTGGGCCAGGAAAGGCAGCAGGGCAAGCTGCCGTGGTGCCAGAGGAGGAATGCGGAGAACGAAAGCCAGTGTTTCTGGACTCCTCACACTGCAGGTAAGCCAGACACCGGGGCACCACATCCATGGTAACACAAAGTGAACTTTTAACCTCTGCAAGACCCTCAGGTCAAGCCACCGTGACGCCGGCGGGGCAGCTGTCACAGATGGGCATTGCTGCAACTGAAAGGGGAACCGGCTTCGGCTTTGACTGGGGGCAGGGTTTGCATTTTTTTGTGGTTTGCAATGTCCACAAAGGAACGCTTAGTGGAAGATATTTTCTAGCAAGCAATGACAGACTGGAGTGAGTGTCTGAGGCACAGAGAGCAAATTGCATGAGTTATTGCAGAGGCCTCATTCATACACTGATCATCCAAAGTACTTTTTATCAGCTTTTAAAACCTATTTAGCTCGGCCAGTCCAAATGAAGCATTTTATTGATGATATTGAGTAAGGTGCTAGGGAAGTGTGGCCTTACACAGCCTGGGATAGTTTTCTAACGTGATTCTGTAAGCCCATTGCTCACTCACAGTGTATAAAATTACAGGTGTTAAACCACAAGCTGCCAAACTTTGCAACGTTTGCAATGTCAGAGCTGGGGACATGTTGCTGACAAAGTGGAGGAGCCTATGTACATGTGAATTGTACTGCTCTGCAGCAAGGCAGTAACAATGCAAAACCCTCCCTCATTTTCAACTACCTGCTTCTTGGAATCATGCTCCTGAAAATATTTTGGTCGGGGTTTCAAAGGCTATTCCTCCCCACTGGCTGACCAAGCTGTGTGACAGAGCAAACTAGATGGATACAAGGTACTCCAATTTGGCTCGAATACTCTCAGAGAAAGAGAGGCTTGGCAGGGATTTAGCTTACAACATGTTTGCCAAGTATCCCAGCTAAAGCTGCCACAGTTAGTCCTCACCAGCCAAGGAAATAACGTCTGATGATGTCAGGATGAGCCTGGTCAAACAGCCCTGGTAAGACAGCCTTTGAACGTTCAGGTGGAGCCTGTCTGCCTGCAGGGAAACACCTGACCCAGAGGTCATTGCCACTTCATTCCCACTTTCTCCCTCCATCCCTGTCGACAAATTCATCGCTGGAAAGAGATGAGTGCTCAACACAGACCTTCTGCCACAGCCCTGAATGGCATCCTGGGGCGGTGAGCTGATGCTGAATATTATCGTGGATGGCAGCTGCTGCCACACTTTGCTTTTCCAGGAGCTTTCCTTTGCTGCTGCCTCGCTGGGGCACAGTTCACAATTTCCGCTTTGTCCTTGCACTTTTGGACACCATCGCGCTTGTGACAAGAGTGAGGCTGCCAGGGGATGGGAGCGAGGGTAGGAGGCAATAATAAAATACTAGACTTGGACAAAGTAGTCATGAGCCAGATGAGGGAAGAGTTTCTTCCTGTGTCTGGTTTTGTTCAACTTCCAAGTCAAGGGTTCTGAAGAAAGAGGAAAAAAAGTGTCATTTATTATTTATCACATCAGACAAGCATACGGTGATAATCTGAAGCTTTTATTCAGCTGCTTATGGCTCTTGCCAACACAGTAAATACCCCTTCCAGGAGATTTCCACTTGAACAAACATCCATTTAAGAATGGTGCTGAAACTCAAGGCTGAATAATCTTGATTCAACCCAGAAAGGAGGGTGCAGAGTGAACCCCCCTTCTTAGAGTCAAGCAGGACTGACAGTCAGCGGAGCTGAACTGCAGAGGTGAGTCCAGGCAGCGTCCCACTGAGAAGCAGCAATGCCCATCTTGCTGAGGACCTCAGTTTTCCCAAGCTCACAACCCACGCTCAGGCTCTGCAGTCATCACTCTAATGAAATGTGCTACGGAACTCAATCCTTGAAATAGCTGTTTTATTTACATGGTGCCCCACCAGGTCCCGGAAAGATCATGAAAAATTAAATGGAGAATGTCATAAAATATGAACGGGATGATCACCAGCCCATAAAAGACCTACAGTTCTTGAAAGGTGTTATACATGTAATGAATGCTGGATTTCATAAAACAGGTTTCTGCCTCTTTTTGCAAAGAAGATGCAACGATTTTCAAGCCTCTGTGTAAAACCAGAAACCTTCAAGGATGTGCTTGGGAGTGCCAGGGAGAGCACAACGCTCCCCCGTGCAGTACAGGAATCCGCTGTCCATTAACAGCCAGTGAGTAAACTAAACACAGCCAAATATTTAACTTATGGTAGCTCTTGATGACTCTTGTCCTTTATTTTGGGTGCTATGTACAGGTCCTTTTAGCTGACCTTTCTAAACTTTCTTGTTCCGTGGCCTAAATGATAAGTCTGTTCTCAGTTTTCAGAAATTACCCTGGAAGCAATCATAGCCCTGCTGCTGAGGTCTATCAGCTCAGTCAGCCCTAGTATGCTTAAAATTACGTTTATAATACAGACCCTATGGATCAGTGTTTCCTAGGCTGCCAAAAATTTTGGTGCCAAAGGAAATTGCTGCCAGTGTAAAGCACTCCCAGGTATTAGAATTATTGCAGAATGACCATAGGCTTGAATAAACTTGCTCTTTAGTTCATGGAGGTCTCTTCACCACCCTGCTGGGCTATGTGCTATGAACTGTGACTTTGTTTTAGGTGTTAAAAAGAAAAAGCCATTGACCAAACCCATGGGAGCTTACACTGGCTCAGCTGCTGGAAAAGAACTTCCCCACTCCCGCCCTTGCCTTTGCCCTGGTGAAGCAGCTCCTCTGCAGACTGTGTGCTCCCTGGGGTGGTGGCCAGCATCTCCTCTCTCAGCTGCAGCACTGGACCACGCTTAGCACCATGCAAATGGATGGGAAAAGGGCCAACTGCTCCCTCCTGAGCAGGCTTCGCGGTGATGACCGTGGTTCTGGCCCTGGACCTAACCCCAGAAAGGGAATTCAGGAGCAAACCGGCTTTTGTGTTGTTTTCGTTCAAGGAAATGTGGCTGGTTTTGTCACATGGCTCGTGCTTGCAGTGAAATCTGCCTCCCATCCTCTGTATTTAGCAAGGTCAGCAGCTGCAACAAGCTTCACAAATCGCCACCTGCATCATTTCATTTTGTCTGTCATCCTCCTGGCCTTTTATCACAGAAGGATGAGCAAGGAGAAATAGTTAGCTCAGGAGACCCTTTCTCTCTAAGGTAATTTGGGAAAGGATGTGTCACATAACACTTCTTTAAGTGGTCAGCCAGATACCTTGCAACCGTTCTTATCTACAAGGGCTTGAAACGTTTGTATGAAAATGGCTCTCCCTCTCCCCCTTCCTTCTCCCTCACCTTGCAGGGAGAAAACAGGCTTTTGAGAAAAATTCAAATTTTGAGAGTGATCCAAATTCCACATAGTTAAAACTGATTTCAAGTCAGTAAATGGATTTTTGCATTATATAGATTAAAGGAATTGGGAGTGACAGCCCCACATCCATGTAGGAAAGAGTACATTTCTCCATGTTCATAAGGCCCACAAGCTCTATGAACAGCTGTATCTACAATAAATGATGTTCTTCTCACGCACCAATTACAATCTGTCAGAAAATGTACATGTAATCCTTCATATCAAGACCTACTCATGCAATTTTTAAACACTACACTGTAAGCTGCGGTATTTATCCTCAGGGCTTCACGTACTGGAGGGAGAAAAAACTGTTATCTACTAGATCATCAATACCAAAGGCTCCATGAAGATAGTTCTTTTTTAGATCAGATGCAAAATAAACACTGCTTTTATTAAAACCAGGATATCAGTTTTTACCCGAGATAAATTCGTTCTGCTTCTGTCTGTGAAGTAACTGATTTCCAAGCCTAGATGCCACACATTTGTACTATCTTCAGTTTAAAACAGTGAAGTACCCCTCTAACTAGGGCAAACCGCACGACCGATTTCCAGCTACTGGCGCCAAACCACACAGCAAAACCCAGGGCAGAGGAGCCAAATCCACTACGATCAAACAGGACAGAAAACTTAAAGCCTGTGAAATGCTAGGGGGTCACCTGGAGCAAACTTCCATGGCCGCAACAGAAAGCTGTGGGGGGAATAAGATTGCTAGCAGGAGCACTGACTCAGATTTGCTTTCCTGATACCTGGGAGTGCCTATGTATAAGGGGAAGGGGGAGAGAGTGAGGGAGAGTAAGGAGGGGGAAACTGTGGCAGTACAATATAAATACAGTGTACTCCTAATCAGTAACAGTTTCAGCAGCATAGTATAAATACAGTGTACTCCTAATTAGTAATAGTTTCGGTTCAGTCTGTTATCTAAGCAAATGTGATTAAGGGTGGAATAGCTTTTTTCTAGCATTTTATATAGCAGAAATTAGAGAAAACAACCTATTTACAAAGCAGAAATCTGCGAAGGACGGGCATCCCTCATCGGCATTGACTCATTAATTCCATGTGGGGGGTCTTATCTAAATCTGGCAAGCTGCACGCATTTATTTGTTTGTATTTTGGCTTTCGTAACAACACGGATTTCTGCTTTGCAAAAAGGCCATACTAGAACACCTAGTATACAAAATACACCTTCCTTCAGCCCTTCATGAAAAGACTAAAACAAACTAAGAAAAGCCTGCCGCTCGCTAAAGAGGAAAGAGAAACATAAATCGACAGGGCGAGGCTTTGCACACACCTTGAGTTCACCAGGCTGCAACGCACGCTGAAAGAAGCCATCATGCCAGTTCCGGGATCGCCTTGTTCGTCTCCTTGGCTTTCTTACACGTGTACAGCCACTTGATTATCCGAGCGTTTCGCTCGATCACGGAGGTGCTGCTCGGGACCTGCTCTGTGAGTTCATCCTCCAGCAGCCCCTCGTCCCCGCTGTGCCTCGTGAAGTCGCTCTCGGACGTGGCCACGCTGATGCTGCGGATCTTGAAGGAGACGTTGTCGGACACCACGGAGAAGTTCTCCCTCCCGAGGTCCTCGATGACCTCCTGCTCCAGGCCACAGTACTTGAAAAATGTATCAAACTCGGAGAAGGACTTGGAGTAGCGAGAGCTGATGTCCGACTGGGAGCGATGCAGACCTCTCCTCTTCACCTCCTTGGCCTCCTCAGGAGGTCTACTCAGTTTTGAGGGTCTCTCCTCCTCTTTTGCACATACCACCGGGGCTTCGGTGCTCACGGCAACGGTTTGTTCCGCTCCGTGGTTGCTCGGCTCACGGTCACCATCTCTTGCGGTGAGAGGCTCTCTGCTCTCGGTGGCCATGGTGTCCTCCACAACTCCGGGCATCCCCGGGGAAGCCAGCTGCTTCTCCTTTACGGACCCCTGGAAGATCCTCCTCACCAGGCTCCCCCGCGAGCCGTCCTGGCTCTGACTTCTCCCAAACTCACACTTCTGGCGGTAAATCACCAGG